AGTTCATACTTGAAGCCCTATGTTCCATCCGAAACGCAAAGGAATAAAATAAATCTGTAATGACTCAAAAACCTAAGTCGTTAAGCTCTTCAGTACAGTTTGTCAACAATGTCAAAACATGATGTAGCGTGATAGAATCTGTGATGCTTATGAACAGTAATAATATGTATACCAAAAATTTACAAAACTGTCTCCAAAATGCCGAACATGACTACAAGATATCTGTGAGTTAAGAAGAATATTCACAAAAAGGCGGAGTTTCCACCCCCCCCCCTCTGTATGCAAGAATCAAACAGCACGAAATTATTTGCAGCAAGTAATCCAATGTCATGCTGTCATTCCATAGAGCAACCTTGAATCCGTTCAAACAATGGCGTGGCTATAAAAAGAAACACCATTAAACACCAGTAAATTGAAGCATTAAAAAATAAGGATCAACAAAAAAAAGTTAAATAATAAAAATCAGGTCAAAAAATATTTTCGAATGGTAGAAAAATGTTACAAGGTCAGGAGAAAAGGGTAATAATTACAAAATTAGTAGAAAAATATTCAAATGAGTATCAGTACCGTAAACAGATTGTTTATGGAGCATTTCTTTCAAATCACTTATTCTGCTAAATAATCCACTCAGATATTTTACCACTCTGGAGTCCTACAGTTTTCCACATACCTTTCGATAACATCATAACAATGCGTAATATTAATAGTATCTTTAATTCTGAAACAGTATTTATGTAATTTACAGAAATTTCAGCGGAGCTTATTGCATGGTATTTTCTGTCCATTCAGGAGCTTCACATAAAAAATTAACTGACACAGTTCTATCTGATCTGAAGCGCAAATTAATCCATTATGATATTTCATCTAGATATGATGGAGAAGATTTGTAGCTCAGGTGGGTGATTTGGATGTGGTTGTGTTCTCTGAGCTAGCTAGATGGTTCATTTGAGAAGCTTCCATTGCCGTACTAGGCAGATATCTTCAGTGCATACTTCAATTTCAATTGAAGTGAGCTTTTAGATTTCTACACGAGTTTATTAGTCATCTCTCCTGGTGACCTTGAAAGTGGGTGGTTGCTTTTGTGTGTTTTCATTTCCTCTAAGGTACTTGTAGTGGAATTGATTGTTTTTTTTTACTTGAAATTTGACCCTTTGTGTGTGAGATTTCCGTCTTATCGATTGGTAAATCTTGTCTATGTCGATGTGTCTATTGATTGACAAGATTTACCAATCGATAAGACGGAAATCTCACACACAAAGGGTCAAATTTCAAGTAAAAAAAAACAATCAATTCCACTACAAGTACCTTAGAGGAAATGAAAACACACAAAAGCAACCACCCACTTTCAAGGTCACCAGGAGAGATGACTAATAAACTCGTGTAGAAATCTAAAAGCTCACTTCAATTGAAATTGAAGTATGCACTGAAGATATCTGCCTAGTACGGCAATGGAAGCTTCTCAAATGAACCATCTAGCTAGCTCAGAGAACACAACTACATCAAAAAGATATCTCATCTTTTTCACCTTAGAGAGATGATTTTTTGATAAATGCCAGTTATAAAAACTTCAGGAGTGAATTTTGTTAACTGACGACGCCATTTATGAATGGTCATCCCATGTACTGGGATAAGCTGCCATTCAGGATAATGCTTATTCACAAGTTTACTACAGACTTGTTTATCAGCAGGTCTTTAATACTCGCTACAGTAAACAATACTAATTTTTTTCCTGCACGTTCCCCATTGGAACATAGGGCTTCAAGTTAGTGCCTTGAAGTTTCTGTGGCAGTGTTTATTTTACAGGATGGAGTCGCTGGCCTCATGCCCAACCTTTCCTCTTTACCAGGATTATTTCTGGCTTAGCGAGGTAAAGGAGTGCGTCTGTGGCCGGGGATCGAACCTTGGACAATGTGCATGGTTGGCGAGCGTCCTAACCGCTGTGCCACCGACGCAAATAATATTAATAGAGGTCATATTTTGTTAGATTTTAAACAAACTGAATAGTCTTCGGTAGCCAAAGTCTTAGGCAGGCCGCCAATCAAATATCAGAGCTATGCGCAAAACATACACAGATTGTGGTTTTAATATATGGTGGTAGATGTATTTTGCTTATGTCCATCCATGCAATGGGCTGCCAATGAATAATTCTGTTCTCAAATAATAAAATGCCTAATTGGTGCGTCCAAAAGAAGTTAGTTCAGACGCTGTCCTTACCTTGGCCATCTAGGTTTGAATGATTCTCAATTTTTGTAGAAATTTCCTAATTTTAGTTGATATTCTACTCGCTATTATATCTTTATTACTATTATAATTTAAGTATTTTTAGTGAACTGTAATTCCATTGGTCATACTTTACAAATCGATATTATTTAAAAAACACTAATATTGTTATTAACTACCAACCTTGAATATTCTGTGTATATAAACATGTATATAATTGTAGAGCCACAAGAGGAATTTATCGAAAAGGATATTCTTTGCTCAATTATTTTGTGTTTTATAGATATCTGAATGAATATTTTTGCTATGTTAAAATAATATTGTGTCCCGCCGTTACACAAATGCTACATAGTAGGTTCGCTGAATGCATATCATCTTACCTTCTATACAAATAAATCACAAGAGTAAAACATTGACGGATTGTGAAAGGCATTTATAACTTCCAATACCCTTCGGCACAAGTCACGATCCATCGCGTACAGCAGGAAGCCGATAGACTAAGCCTGATGATTACTTCGTTTTATAGGCGGCAGCTACGTTGATACTAAATATGAGTTAATCACCAATGTAATCTCAGCATAGGTCTCTTGAGGAATACTTACATTTCTAAAATGTTAGGGCAATAGAGAGTGGGCACAAAATTATGAATGGAATTTTATCAACTAATACGATTGAAATGTTTTTTTTAAATAATGATGTACGATCTAATCAACGCACAACTTTACTGAAAAATACTCATACCAGAAAATAATAGGCATCTGACCACTTCCATGTCTATCTGCCAATTCGCTCCTTCATTTGAAGCGAGATATATAGGTCGTTTGATGAGTGTTTTAGCTAAGAGAGTCAAAGAACATTATCCGCATTCTGAAACTGAAAGTGGATAGAAATGTAGATGAACATTAATACAAAGTTTGAAATCTGAATGATGACAAGGAGTTAAATAGATCTCAGACACTGCATTCGATTTTGTCTGGCAGTATGAGTGATCTAAAAATCCCACCTTGAACAATCTACTTATAATATTGACACTTATCTCAATATTTCAACTATTTTTTTATTATAGCTTGATTCCACACAGTATTTTGGTACAACTAAGGAATTGCCAGCATGTGATATCGGTAGCCTAAATTTAGCAGGCCGACCATTGATATCAGGTATGCGTTGGCTGGGATCGAACCTGAGACCATGTGCATGGTCGGAAAGCTTCCTAATCACTGTGTCATTTGTTACTCTTACACCCCACCCACCGGTGTATCGTCATTCAAACATTTGCACATCTTGTTTTGACTTAATCCTCATTATTACTCTGTGTCTTTGATTCATTTCTATTTTAATACTTCACTTTACCATTGTGTGATGGTGAACTATTCATGGTAGTGAGCTTGTTATACGATTTTAATCCTGTTCGAGTGAAATGAAGGTTACACTATGAAATGACTGCTTGACCATAGGCTGTCTCCAGGACATTCATTTTGTTCTGTTTCGATTCATGCAGACTGGGAGATGGAGATTCCATCTTTGATTTTCAAGTAATTAACAGTCATATTTCATATTAGTTTGTTTATTCGAAGTATTGCACAATGAAACTGTATTATTCACTGGATGACATTTCGAACAAAATTTATTATTCATAATCATTTCATCAATTACAATCACACGAATTCGAAACTTGAGTTTTATAGTTTTCTTTGTTCTCTCCTATTTGTCGTCGCTGGGGTAGTAGAATTTTCCAGATATCTGGGACAGGTGTTGAATCATTCCTATTACATGTATTTGCAGTTGATTCGATAAACAAAGCTTCTATTATCAATCTCTCCCTCCACCCAGCTGTTACATTAGATTTTAAAACTGTCATCCTGTCTAAGCTTATTATATGGTTGTGTGTAATTGCATGTAATGCTACGGCTGAACTATTCTCGAGATTTCTTATCTTATTCATCTACAAAGTCATAAGAAGCTTCCCGAAAACGGTAAGCTTCCGCACACTTTTCATTGTCAAGGCCTAAGCGCTCCGGTTCGAAAACCCTGATTTATGCACACAGAAGAAGCTTCTCCACCCACTCCTTCTACCTTGGGTATAATTCAGAGCTCTACTACTTTGTAAGCAGTGTTTTTTTTTAATTTTTGTATGGCATCTTAGTAACACCTTCTTCTTAACCAACCCTTTATTTACTCTTTCTACCTATGACATAATAATCTCCATTAGTATCCTATTTCATATTACGCAACCCTTCTCAGCACTTACCAATCTTCACCCCTTCCCCTAGTTACAATCTTGATTATTCATCACATTTTAGAGACATTTTGGTGATGTAAACAGTAACTCCAACTAATTTTCACTTTTGTTTGGCAATCCCAATGTGCACACACACACACAAAATAATTATATATGAATGAGATTGTGCAGAGATAGGCGAATGAATTCGCCGAAAAGAGACTCTTCGTTGAACTTTGTTGTTCTTATCTTCGTATTCTGCTTCTTTTTTTCTCCCTTCATTCTTGCCATAATGTGTCACAAAGATCTTCATCTTTTTTATCCTCAACTTAACCGATCTCTCCGCAGTTCAAGACTGTTTCAGAATTATTATTATTGTCAGCTGCACACAGCACAAACACAACCAGACTGACATTCTAACTCGTTGCCAGAAAACTGCCTCTTTTACTTTCAATTATGCTACTGGAATTCTTGTAGCTTATTTCTACTGAAAGTCTAATGATAAGTAAATCACCAGTTTATTGTTTAATCTTGTTGTGTTTTTTTTGTCTTATATTTACAGACAGTTATGCGACGACTTGTCAGAAGATATATACACCAATCAAAGAAAACAATGCGACAAGATGGTGTGAATGAAGATGATCTCTTAGAAATTAAACAGGATATATCCAGTTTAAGGTAAACAACTCATATTACTTTGTAAATGTATGGTAGTGACTGAAACTCAGGTATTTGTGAACCCTACAAGTAGTGTATACAACTAAATAGCTGAATGATCATAACACTAGTTTCACCTCGTTTACTACTGATGTATGTATAAGTAGACAAATCCAGCTAACTACCTGAATTCCTCAGGCCAGTAAATTCCTCATTAATTGTGAAACAACCTATATATACCAGTACTGAAGTTAAATATTTACAAATGTTTGTATGATAGACTAGTTTTAGCGTTATGATCAGTTAAATTGGTAGAACATCTGACACAAATAAGAAAAGCAAATAACCCTACCCAGGTGTTGGTTTGCAAGGGGTTTGGTTGGTTTTAAGTTACATCAGAAAGTAACATTTTATTAGAAAACCACCAGAAACTATAGAGTACTGAACAGTCCTAGTTTGTCCCAATTTGGAACCCTTACACACTCATCACCTCACCTGGTATAGATTCAGGGGAATTCATGTTATGTGGCGAACTCTCTGACTATTCAGATAGTAGGGTAGATTCCAATTCCTAATTTGTGATATTAAGCGTCATCAGTGATGTCAGCAGCAAGCATTTGACCTTGGAGCCAACTTGGTGGTCACAGTTTCTCACTAGAACTCTAAAATCCCGATCCCATAGACAGTCATTCATTGGTAGTCTAGCACAAAACAACTCTCCAGTACTCCCTGGTTGTCAACACTCCTCTAAATGATATCAGTTTCGATTTAATCACTATTAGGACGGCAAAGCATCTAAGTTAGACATGAAGATGCACATGTAGTATTTCACCAGAATCATAACTGATTTTATTTTCGAGTTCATTCATGAACTAAGTTCAATTCGAGAAACATTGAAAACCATTACTCAAGTGCTGTTGTTCAGGGCTCTTTATGAGCATACGCCCAATACAGACAGAATCCATAACTCTTGCCGGGCTTATTGCCATATACTACAAACTGACAGAAGTTAGAATTCATGGGCAAATGAGTGGATGGATTACAGACGTAGTCAAGCTGACGAACAGTCCCAAGCTGGGATGAAATACTTATCCAGTTCACTTTGGTTTTCTATGGTTCTCTAAGGGAAGTCAGTTCATGATCGAACGTGAAATCAATCAAACCTTTGTAAATCACCACTTTTATTTTATTTTGTTAACTATAATATTTATAAATTAGATTAATCAGATTTAAATTATTTCATGATTTTGTTCTAAAATATCGCATATATTGACTTTATAGATTTGAATTACGCGAAGATAGAAAACGTGAAATTGTACGTGCTGTATGCCAGTTGGAAACTTTAAAACAAGAACTTGTTGATGAGCTGGGTAAACAGAGTACAATTTTACAAAATGCTACAATACACCCACAAACATCACAAACAACACTGCCAACAACATCGATAGTACAAACATCAATGATAATACCATCTACATCCTCATCAACATATCCTAAAGTTGATGATTTAACCGATTATCGAAGGAAACTTTACAAAACAAAGCCATCAATACCAACTTCTGTAATAGACTCAAGTGACCAGGCAAATATACACTATAGTACGAAAAATGTTAACACGGGTCAACAACAACTACACCACCTTCAATCCACATCAAGTGACTCAAAGATTAAAGAAGGTGGTCGGAAGAAATATTCATTAAATTATGATAAAGAGCCAAAAGATATCTATAAAGATCTTATGCAGCTCGCGTCAATCAATGATATACCAATTGATGTATTAAAATTAAATGAACGGAATAATAGAATAGCTACTAAAGGGTTATATATTGATGATTGGAATCAATTTAAAAATGAAATGAAAAATGAACTAAAAGAAGAATTATCTGCACTACTTAATAATAGATCAGTAGTATTAGATAACCAACAGTTAAATAATAACACTAGTAATAGCAGTAATAATAATAGCAGTTATCAGAATGTATCTTCAATACCAAATGAAAATCGATCAAATATCATTCAGTCTACAAATCAGACGAAATATTCTAGTAGAAAAACGTCAGCTAGTGTAAACACTACCCACTCTACTAATATATTACGTAAGTATTCAAAACAAAGTGATTCCAGTGTTAATCCTAATAATAATAACAGAGTGAATAATAATAATAATAATGATCGTTTAAAATTACTACATACAAGATATTCAGAGAATGTAATTATTGATTTAGCGTCATCAACACCAGTGACAGGTGTCTCCGGTTGTTCAACATCAGTATTACCGGGATTAAAGACACCAGAGGGCATAGTGTCAACTACTCCAATGGATACAATGATGTCATCATCAACATCAGGATTACATGATAAATTTACATCATCAAGTCATGAAAATAATGCGATGAAAAGCATAATGAATACATCAACACAATCGACTATTTTGAGTGCTGGTGGTAGTGGTGGGAGTAGCGGAAGTATGAATAGCCGACCAAGAAGACAAATAATTGATTTGGTGAGTCATGAACAAAAAAGCATAAATATGCCTGAAAATTATGCTACATTCTCTGAAAATGTTGAAAAAAATGACTGAAATCTATGAGATTGAAAAAGAAAAAAAAAGAAATTCATAGCAGAGGAGAACTATTGATTTGCTTTCTTCGTTTCTTCCTTCCATTCTTCTTCCTCCCCTCAGTGTATTGTTTGTTTGCATTTTTTTTTACTTATTAGAGGTACTTTGGGTTGGTTTGATCCTTTTTTTTGGTTTTCTCCTTGACTGGCAATAATGTCACTCACTCACTCACACAATCACTGACGTACTCATTGACTAATTCAAGATGTCGGATACTTCAAAATAAAGCATATATATACATATACATACATTTGGGACTGTAAATTACCTTTCTAAACAGTACTACTGTAAATCCCATCTATGATCGCATGTATACAAAAACATTGTTATTACTATTACTATTACGATTACCATTATTATTATTATTATTATTATTATTATTATTATTATTATTCACAACTTTTAAATGTAAAAACCAAAGAAACAAGTGCATATTAATACAAAGAAAACCCGTTTCCTTCTGTTTATGTTTTCCTCCCCTGTAAAACTGTCTGCAGAGAGCAGAAATAAATGTTTATTACAGATATATATATATGCATAACAAAACGATATATATATATATATATATATATATATGAATTCTCTTTCCACACATGTTGTAATCATTATTCATATTTCAATTTGTAAACAGTTACACATATATCCTAGGGAAACAGAGGAAAGAACAAAGAGAATCAGTAATAGAGACAAATGTAACAAGTGACCAGCAACAATGGCAGCAAAAAAAGGAGTAGAATGACACACGCTATAACGCCAAAACAAATATGCTCAAATAATACATATTATACACGCACACATACAAATATATAAATAGTTTAGGAAACTGATGAATTTACTTCGAAATGAATCATTCTTTCTTTATTTCTTCTGCCTGTATAATTATTGTATTTTTAAACGACAAAACTCAATAATCACAATAATGTTTGAACTGAAAAATAAAATAAATAAAAACTTGAAGTAAGAGGTGTCTGTTTGTTTTCGTGATAAATTTTGTGCTACTTGACAATATATTTCAGTAGTAAAAATAGACTCTTAAAAATATTCAATTGTTATTATTATTATATATATATATATAGTCTATACACTTTCAACTCCTCAACTCTTCACACGATCTCCTCCATGTCACCCTGGCACCGATGACAGACTCCCCGCTTCCATTTCGGCCTGGTTCCACTCGAGCAATGGCCTGACGCGCGATGTCACCCAGCGGTCTCCTCAGCGAGTGTCCGATCCACTTCCACTCCCTCCTGCATATTTGTTGGGCGATTGGTTCTTGTTTTGTCTGTTCCCAGCCATAGTTTCTTCTTGATGATTCTTTCCCACCCGGCCATCTGATCTTCAGTAAAGAGCCAGCGAAGACAGTTGTTGATGAAGGTCTGCAACAGACTGTTGGAAATATTCTTTGTGACCCGCCCGCCAAGTTTCTCATCCGATCCGTATAGGAGAACTGACTGACTTGACGTTGTTTGTATTGAAAATCCAACCGAATTTTGTTGTTGATGCTGGCTGAGTGACGAAGATTTCCAGATTGGTTTCAGGTTGATGAATGTGTTTCTCGCTTTCCCTATTCTCGCTCGATTTGACATCCTCGTCCGTTCCGACTGCCTGTAGTTGAGACAATGTTCCCTAGATAAGTGAGTGAATGAAGTAACACTCTTTCAATCCCTCCTGTTGATGGCGATTGGCACTGGATGCAGCTGTTGTTGTTGTTGCTGTTGGCTGGTTATTTTCATGACCTCCCTCTTGTCTATGTTCACATGGAGTCAGTCCTGTCTTTGCTGCTTCTTCGACCAGTTTGTCGGTTTTCTCTTGTAAATCTTCGATTTTGTGTGACATCAAACATAAATCATCCACGCGCGAAATCCAGTCTTCTATGTTCTTCGCTGTCAGTCTAGGATATCCCTGTCTTCTCGTTTCCCAATTGTTACAATTATTATTAATCCCTCGGATTTCAAGTGGAATAAAAAGCTTTACAAGTATATCTCCATTTCTTCGTGTCGTCTGCACTGCTTTTTGGATAGACCCATGAGTGCCTATAAGCGTGGTCTCCTCCATGTCACCGTCAGATCCATATTCAACTCTGAGTTTCTTGTTAGGGTTCCACTCGACAATTTGGAGTATAATTACATTTAGTGGATCTCTTCAGCGTATGTCTAGTCCATCTCCATTTTCTTGGGAATATTTGTTCAGCGATAGGTTCTTAGGTGGTTCTGCGCTTCCTAGATAAGTTAAGGAAGTAACCTGTTTCAAACTTCTGCCGTTGACGATAATTGGTGTTGGTTTTTTTTTGGTCATGAATGGTTATTTTCATTACCTTGTCTTCTCTATGTTCTCTTGAAATCATGTCTTCGCTACTTTTCTTGCCAGTTAGGTTTTCTCTAGTAAGTCTTCAAGATTGTGTGACATTAGATAGATAAGATAAGATAATAGCTTTATTCCAAATCAGTACTTGTGATACAGAATGGAATTCTCAGCATTTTACTACAATATTGCATCCAGTTAGTACGTTAACAATAAATAAAGTTCTACATAGATTAAAGTTATCTCAGTCAGTTTTGACAACAACATATTAACATGTCGGTAGCAAAGCCAGAATTTTAAACAGAGTGTTTGAAGGTGTTAGAAAAGTAGATACTACTAGCATATTTACTGGCGTAAGCGACAGAAAAATGGTCGAGATATACAGAGTGTGAAAGAACGAACAATTTTTTTTTTTTTTTTTTTTTTTTTTTTTTTTTTTTTTTTTTTTTTTTTTTTTTTTTTTTTTTTTTTTAAACAAAGTAGAGAGAAAATTCGTAGTACCTATAAATGACGTGAATTGGAAAGACGAGATCTATTGTTCTACTGACTATTTAATAAGTTAAAGGTTTCACGTCTAATGCTTTCTTTATCACACAGAACACGAGCTAGGTAGGGTATGGATGAGTTTTTGTACTTACTATATAGGCTTCTGGTTTTCCCTGAAGAGATACATGGGGAGAGTTGTGAATGTAGAGTGTGTTGTGAGTCAGATAAAATGGATTTAGCCCATTTTTCACATGAGTTCATGTGCCTGTCCACCAGAATATTAACAAGCTGGCTAAGTGGCAAACTGCTTACCCTGCTGACAACCTTTAACATCCTACGTAATAAGGTATAGTTTGTCTTCAATAGCCCAGGAAAGACTAAAGGGGACCAATTGAGAATAATAGGCAGAACACAGGAGTTAATAAATTGTAGGAGTAAGGGTTGGGTTACACCAGAATGTCTCAACTTCTTGATGTAGAAGGTAAGACGGAATATTTTCTTAGAAATCGTCAAGATATGAGACGACCAGGAAAGATCAGAAGATAGAGTGATGCCTAGGTATTTAATTTCCCACTTGGTTTCAATTTCAGTGCCATCTATGTTGCACACTTCGTGAGTGCTAAGCAGTTCGTTTAGGTCAGATTTGTGCGCGCTGTTTGAAAGGGAGTGCTTTTTTCACGTATTTCACGTTTTTGACAAATCGCTGTTTTGTTGTGTTATTCACTTCAAGAACATTTAAAAAAAACTTTAACTTGACTTTTGTCTGTTAAGTTTTGATTTTAACCACTTATATATTCTATATTGGGTAAATTGTCTTGGCTGTTTCCAGTAGAATTTCATGATGTCAAAAGTACCACATAAATGTAATAGGGCGGAGTGTTACTTTTTGGTAGATGATGGAATACAGTGTAATAACTGTGAAAAATGGTATCATAAGATGTGTACTGGATTACGTCCAGCTGCATACAAACGCTGTACTGCTCCAACATCCCACTGGATGTGCAGAATGTGTTGCTCTCCAAAGATGACCTTAATAAGGGAGGCTCACGAACTGCTGTCTAAAGCCATGGAACTTCCTGATGATAGCGTGGCTAGTAAGAGTGACACGGACTGCCCGTCTGAAGATGAAGCAGTAAGTGCCATCATGAATGTTATCACACCGGCGGTTACTATCCCAGTTACCCCGGAAGTAAAACCTACTAGGCGTTCGAAGCGTCTTAGTAAGCGAAAAGGTAAAAAAACGGAAGCTGTAAACAGCACCTCAGAACCAGAGAACACCGTAAGCGAAGTTCACCATGAAGGTGGCGCAGACACTGATCTTGATTGTACCATCAAAAACTGCAGCAGCCCTGAGAAGCAACTGCAGGCAGATGATAAATGGGTAACAAAAATAAGCAGTCGAAAGAAATATAGTAATATTGATGGTAGGCAAACGTCTGTCACCTGTAGCCAGGCTGCATCAATAGTGGTGAGAAAGGACGTAGCCACTGCTAAATACGACAAGCTCTCCTTAGACTCTAACATAATTGTTGGAAATTTGGAAGAGTCCAAAGAATCTGATCCCGTGAAAAGGCACGATCACGACCTTAAATTAGTGAGTAGTATTATAAGGAAGATGCTCCCAGCGAATTTCCCTGGAGTATCGATTAAAAAGCTGATTAGAATAGGCAAAAGAGATGATGAATGTTCTAATCAGCGTAGGTTGCTTAAAGTAGTCTTAGGTTCTCCTGATGAACGGAATCATCTACTGGCTAATGTACACAACCTTGCCGGGTCAGGAATTTCAGCCAGACCTGATTTATCTCTTGAAGACAGACTTAAACGAAAAGAAGTTTTGTCCCAGCTAGAAACAAGACGCAAAAATGGTGAGACTAACCTTAAACTGGTGGGTTTTCAAATAGTCAGGTCTTGGAAACGTATGCTTCCAAGACCTGTGTGGATAGGCCAGACCGCATAGGAAGCCTGAAGGTAGTGTACACTAATATACGTAGTATCGGGAACAAATTTCACGAGCTAGGTGTATTAGTAGAAGACCTTAGCCCAGGTATTGTGGCCATTACTGAAACATGGCTGGTTTCGGGATTAGATGACACACCTGAGCTATGCGGATTTAGTTGCTTGCGCAGCGACAGAGTTAAGGGTCGTAGAGGTGGCGGGGTTGCTCTGTACATCAACAACTCCCTACATGTTCGTTCCGTGAAATCTGAAGCTCATGACAGTGGGACAGGTGAGGTAATTAGCTGTGAAGTAAGCTTTGCAACCGGCACTCTACTCATTGGAGTTCTGTATAGAAGTCCCTATTGTCAGTGTGATGACTTCATTTTAGATCACCTCAAACAATGGAGTAAACACAGTAGCTGTCTTATTCTAGGTGATTTTAATGCACCTCATATAGACTGGGTAGCTGTCACATCTCCAGGATCCGCTGATAAGTTTGACAGCCGGTTACTCTTGACAACCATGGAAAATGCCCTGACACAACATGTCTTAGGTAGTACAAGATTCGGTTCTACCCAAGGATCTTCCTTGCTGGACTTAGTGCTTACTCATGACAACGACGACGTGGATGGTCTAGTTATTCATCCACC